AATATCGACGTATTAGAAATATAATTAAATTTAATTTAATTGGTGGTAGTTCAATGAATGATGAAAGTGATGGTTATTCATCATTATCATCAAATAAAAGTGATCCATTATCACAACGTATTGAAAAAGCATTAAAATTACGTCAACGTAAAGAACAACGACAAGCAGCTAAAGAACATCGGTCTGGTTTATTTAATGCTCAACATCATCAAGTACTTGAATTGACAAAATGCGATGAAGATATTGAAGTTGATATTTTATCATAACATGTATTTCTTTTTTTTTCTGTTTTTTCTTTTTTAATATTATTGTTGCTTATTGTTAACTGTCTATTTATCTCTCGTTCTCACTCTCGCTCATGTTTTTTCCATACAATTGCAATTGTACTCGTTTACTTTTTTTTTTTTTTTGTTTTTCTCATATTGGTTTTTTTTCTCTGTCTGTACCTATGTCGTTCTTTTGTTTTTTTCTCTATGCACTTGTTTGTGCGTGTGTGCATGAGGATTGGTGACAAAAAAAGAAAACAAACGGAAGATATGGCATTTTTATTTAGAAAAAAAGGAAACATTTTAATTGACGTTTTATTGGCATTTAGTCATTATTATTAAAGCACAGTGAACATTTCACATACTTATATTCTAATGAATACGAATATCATTGATTTAAAAAGTATTGATTGAAGAATATATAAGTTTATTGCTATGTATAAGATGCTTAATCGAATAATGACTTTGTACCGAGAATTAGAAAAGTCTAGAAGAACTGAAATGAAAAAGCGACAAATGGATACTACAACAATTTGTCGCAATTTGATAGAATGAGAGTAGCATGTAAAAAATGAAGATTTATCTCATGGTGGATTGCCTTGTTGATGAACGATCATCTAATGATGGCCCTTCAAAATAAAGACAAATTATAGAGGATTACAGAAGATTTTCAAAGCAATTATTCATTCATGTGTAAGGCTTTACGCTCGATTAGAAGTAATATTTATACGTAATGTTTCTTGTCCTTGAATAGATTGATAGTTATTCGGTTAGAAACAAAATAGCCCATAATTTCATTGTTGAGAAAATCGATTTTTTTTTCGATATGATAGCAAAACACTATAAATAAGAGTTTGTACTCAGAAATTTTGTTTCAAATGCAACGAACATCATATTTGGAATCAGCAAAACAATTTGCATTGAATAGTATACTCAATATTTAAGGTTTTCCTCTCCTTAAAACAAGTTACTTTTCGTCCGAATGGTCGAAATTCTCTGTCGATACTCATTCTATATATTTAATTTTTTTTGTTCAAAGAGCGCGTCAAGTCACAATGCAGTATAGAGCCTTTTTTTAAAATTAAGCATTGCTTTTACTATATATACAAACATTTATATAATTAGAGCGCCATTTTTAGAGTTTTTTGACTTTCAATCCCTTTTCTCTCCTTAACAAGTAAGAATTTAAAAAAAAACAGCTCTGTATTGCATTGCATCCTGACATGCTCTTTCAAACAAAAAAAAATACTTAAGATATAGAATGAACCTGGACAGAGAAATCTGGTTTGCCAAATGAGCTATTTTTGATCCTTGTTTGGTCAGTATCTTCCTCAAACATTATGATATCAGACTGAAAATTTCACCACAGCTTCTCCATTACAACTCCAACATATCCTGAAAATTTTATGGCATTTAAACGTTCCTGGGCTGAGATCGATTTTTGAGAAAATGAAGGCCTTAAAACAAATCTTGACGAAAATTTGTTTTAAGTTACCAGAAAAATCGATTTTCTTAATCACGACCTCATGTGCTATTCTTTCTCTAATCATATAAAGAGTAAAATCAAAGACAAAAATATTGAGGTTACTGATACTTTACACTTTTGACGTATTTCAACTTTTTAAAGTTTGGTTATAAAAATATGTTTCAAATGTGCCAAAAACGACATTTATAGAGGCACACATTTTTGTTATTCGCATTATGAATTTATGATTTCACAGGGCAACACAAGATTTATGCAATACTTTTGTTCGATAGATCATATGATGATAGAGAAAAAAAATCTACATATATGTGTTGATTTATATGTAATCTGGAATTATATTTGTTTAACATTTTAATTTTCAATATAAACAATATGAGGTTGAAGGACGATAAGTTTGATAATTTTTATGTTTTCATTTATTAAAAAGCAATATAATTATGTTGAAGGTTTCAATGACTAGAAGAGACGATAAAATGAAATTATTCTAATATGAAATTTTTTTTGTGATTGAAAATTAATTATTGTTTGCTTTTTTTTTAATTGTATTTATAAATCATGAATTAGATCGACTTTTAAAATTATTTAAATATGATTAATCATTTTATCGATCATTCTCAGACGATATTTATCTTTTGGATTCGAAAAATATCAAAAATTTTGTAATACATAGTCTTTGAATTGGAATCAACTTTTTAAAGGTTCAAGCCAATTTGAAATGTATAATATCTTCGAAAATGATGATTTTTTAGCTTAATATTAAAGTAAATAATATTGGATACTTTTATCTCTATCCTACAATAAATAATATATCTTTCTCGAACTAGACTAGAATGACAAATATTGAAGCATTCCATAAATATTAGCTCAGTATTATTCAATTAATATAGTGGAGATATATTCGTCAAAGTTAATTATGTTGATAATTAACAGAAAATGATAAAATAAAATGACAATTGATGTTATTCTCTTGATTGATATAAAAACAGATGTTCGACTAATATTATATAGTGTTATCCGACTCAAAATCTCTACGTCATATAATGTCAATGAATTATTAGTTATTTAGAATACATAAAAGTCTAAGAATATTATTATTTGATGTAATGATAAGTATACTAACGAGGAAACTTCTTTAACTAATTAATGGTTTTTGAATAGAGACCATGTGCATCAGATAGGCTCTAATGAGATATGAATACTCTGAAAAGAATTCAGATCCTTAGGTTATTACTACCGAGACGCAGTATTTTCACGATATTTTTTCCGTAGTCCTCCTCAGAAATATAAGGAAAAATAATTTTCAAATTTCAATTCGAAACTTCGCGCAATGGACAGGACTTTACGAAAATAATCTATTACAAAAGTTTCAGATGTTTTCTTTATTTCTATCCTGAAATAAGAGCTTCAAATCTATGATGTATATGAGCAGTGTAAGAAAAAAAAAACATACGTCTTACTATAGCTGTATCTTAAGATAGAAATAGATAAAACGTCTAAAACTTTCGTAATAGACTATTCTTGTAAAAGTGTGTCTCTATGAAAAATTTTGAATCGAAATTCGAAAATTATTGTTTTCTGTATTCCTGAGGAGTACGACATAAAAAACTATCGTAAAACTGCAGTGTCTCGACAACAATAAGCTAAGAGATCAAAGTCTTTTCATGATATTTATATCTAATTGGAACCCATATGATGCATCAAATCCTCGACTCAAAAGCGATTAACCAGTTGGGTAGTTTTCGCCATAAGTCTGAGGGAAAACTTCATATATGTCAGTAATAACAGAGCGGGACCAAAAAAAAATGTAATCAATAATGTTGTTGAAAGTTATACAGTATTATAATATTGGTAAATCGAGCAAGGATAAGGAAGATCTAATCATACATATCCTTATTTCAGCATCATTTGTTATTTAACCATTATTGTTTGTTTTTATATATAGGGTACTAGAAAAGTTTTTTTCTCACTCGGTTCTCCTAAACGTTATAACTTGGGCGCAAATATTCTCTTCTAATGCTATGATATATTAAAGATTATATGCAAAACTTCAACCTTTAAGGTTTAATACATCTTCATATTTTTCATTTTTTTTTGTAGATAAGCCACACGCTATCTTTTATATTATTTCTACATTATAATTCTATACGTAAGTACAATTTTTATATTAATGACGAAATCTAACGTAGAGTAAAACTAGTCTCTCTCTCTCTCTCAGCGACGGTCTACACCTAGCTCACATTACGTATTAGTAAGTGAATAATCCATCTACTTTACACTGCGAGAGTTTAAAGTCATAGCGAAAATGGTATTTGACTATGAAAAACAAAATAAGTCTGAGATTTTATACATAATCCTAATTGTATCTAAGTATTGTAATAGAATACTTGCGTTCAAATTATGACTTTTAGGAACATCGTACGAAAAAAACTTTTCTAATCTTCCATGTAGTTAAAAGTTAAATATCTGCGATTTTCATAAAAGTCCTTCACTAATATTGTCTTATTCAAAGATGTTATTTGTTTTTCTTCGGCACTTTGATTTATCGCAACAATATGTTTGTATATGTATTGCACGAGACTCACGAGGATTATTATTGGATCGTATATGATTAAATGATAAAGGAATGTTTTTAGTTCTAATAAATATTAGCAAAAATTTTTTTGCATCGTTGTAATGTCTCGTCTCCAATCAAATCATCCATCAAATATTCCTATAAGCGACAAATCACCTGCCGTTTAACATTAGATGATAGTAATCATACAATTGTACGTAGAAGAAAAAATAGAAAATTGATATTCTGTTTTTTTCTTCAAGCAAATCACATAGGAGAAAAAAAAGAAGAAGAATGACATCCATTCCAAGGACATAATCACACTTATATACGATAAAATATTATACAGTAAGATATTAGTATAGGAAGAGAGAGAGTGAATTAGAGATCATGTAGGCGGGTACGGTTCACTCCTTTCTTGTTAGATAACTCTTGGCATATCAATCTTTTCTATTAATATGATCATGTTAGAGAACAAGTGATTATTGTTCGAGAAATATTTATACGTATGTGTGATCTTTCTTCGATGTTCTTTATACAATGACATTTTCTATTATCTGTTTGTTATTGTCGTTAGCGTCAATCTATTCACACTTTTTTTTTCTTCTTCTTTCTGCTTTCTCATCTTTATAGATCGTATAGATTAGAAGAATAATCAGTCTTGCCATTGCAATAGTCACACGCATATATTTCTACAATGGCAACATCACAAACTGATACTGGTGAACTGTTTTTAAGTCGTCTCTCAGAAACTTTTGTATGTCGTCCAGGTGATAATGTGCTTCTTGAATGTTATGTTCGTCATCAACGTGTTAAATCCATTGCTTGGTATGCCAATGGTGAACTAATTGAAGCAAAAGGTTTTCGTATATGGCATCGATATCGACCAACAACTGGACAATGTACACTTCATATACGTTCTGTACTCTATTCAGATTATGGTATATATTGTTGTGAAGCAACAAGTATAGATGATTTTGTTGAAATATTAGAAATAAAATTAAAAATTGAAAATCGTAAGATTGAAGAATTTCTTTTTTTTTTTATTATTTTATTTGATTCATTATAGAGGATAAATCTTGGACTAAAATTCCTGTACTTCATATGGGTGGGCGTGTAAAGCCAGAAGGTAAGAACCTTGTCTAAATTTAAAATGTGGATGTATTGGAAGAAAACAATGATACTGAGTTATAAAAAAAAACTATCATTCTTAATTCTTATTAGTGTCTTTACATAGAAGGATAAAAAGTTGTCGATGCACCGTATATATATATATATATATTTCATAACCTCGATGTCATTCAGAAGCGTTTTACAAACGATAACAGAAGTATATTTGGTAGCGCATTGAGTTCTGCATATTCTATCTTTGTCTCTTTTTTTTTTAGCGTCCTTCTTTCCCCATACTGTTCTGTCGTATAATGCTCTGTTGATAATACATAATGTTAACAACGAACATTCCTTGTTCCATAATACTATCTTTGACTTTCTCGTTTCTTCTCGATGATGGTGGTAATGTGTTACGGCATATACAGATACATACGCATGTTATCCATGCGACGTTGCATACATAGTATATTATAACATGCTGTGAAAGAACAACAAAATTGATTCCGCGAAAAAAAAAGCATAAGGAAAAATCTAGAGACCCCAAAAAAGATCTGTTTTTTTTTGCAGCGATAATATACTGAGTACATCTGACGATTGACAACCAATTGTCGAATATAGTCCAAAAAAAAGAGGAAAAAAAGGAAACGATAAATCTATTTCTTTCTTGTCTAGATGAAGATAAATCGGGTACAATATTCTTAATATCAAATAATCAAAAATCTCTTATTGATGAAAACATGTTTCCAATAAATTGGTATGAATTACATATTGATCGACCATTACTTGATCCAACAATATCGCTTGAACATACATCATTACAATTATCATGTCGTATTGCTGGTCTTCATATTGATAAATTTGAATGGTATAGAAATGGAGAATTAATTGCTGTTTGTAATGAAACTCCATCATCATCATTTATAACAACAACAATAACCGGTGAAAATGATCGTGGTCTATTTCATGCATCTTATGATACATTACCAGCACATTTTATTGCTTTATTAACTATTGAAAGTACAACAAAACAACGTCATGAAGGTACATATGAATGTCATGCATCGAATGCATATTATCAGGTATCATCATCATGTGAAGTTATTATTAAACAAATTGAACAAGAACCATTATCAACTGATGAAGTAAATTATTTATTAAAATTAAATCTTTTTTTTTTGAATTGTTGTTGTTATTTTTAAATTTTCTTTTATAGACAATATCTTCTCGTTTGATAACTGAAATAAAGAAACGTACAGATGATGATCGACAAGAACAAATACTTCCAATAGAACCAAAACGTTTTCGTATTGATGAAATAACAAATGATCGTCAAAATCAATATTATCAACCATTAACAATTAGTCCTGTTGAATCACCATTTCGAACAATTGGTGATCAAAGAGTACCTTCAATTGATAATAAAACAGAAACAGCAAAAACTGTGAAGTGGAGTGAGCAAATAGAAACTTTTCAAAAAGTAAATCTTTCTTTTTTTTTTTGTATCATAGAAAAAACAACAAAACGAATTTTTTAAAATTTTTAGAATCATTCACCAAGTGAACTTGACACATTACTTCCACCAATACCAGAAATAGTTCCATCGTCATCATCAGATGAAAGTAGTAGTGTATCGGCTGGTGATCTTGAACAAGTTCTTCGTGCACATTCATTACTTTTAACACATCCAATGGAGAAAAATGTTGATACAAGTAGTAGTTCTGATACTGGCACTGGATCATTAGGCATGTGTCCAGTATTTTTTCAATTACTTCCATCAAAAATTGAATGTGAAGAAGGTGAACGTTTATTATTATCATGTCAAGTTATGGCTGGTATACAATGTCAAATAAAATGGTTAATTAATGAAATAATTATATCTGAAAATAAATCTCGTACTCGACGTCACTATAATCCTGATACTGGTATTTGTTTTATGATAATTGATCCAACTATAATTAATGATACAGGAATTTATCGTTTAATTATTTCAAATCGACATGGTCAAGCAGAATCAACATGTCAAGTTCAAATTTTAAATCGTCAATTACCACCTATGCCTGAAGATGATTTATCAACTCATTTATATTTTATTAAACCTTTATCATCAACACCAATAACATGTCATGATGGTGATACAATACAATTATCATGTATTGTACATGGACGACGACCAATATATATTCGTTGGTTTAAAGATGAACAAGAAATATTAATAAATGATAAACAACAACATACACGTCAGATTTATTTTGATTCTTTAACGGGTAAATCAACATTAACTATTCACGATATTTATCCAAATGATAGTGGAATATATCGATGTGAAGCAAATAATGAACAAGAAAAAATCAGTACAACAACTACGGTTAATGTAACACGTATGTATAATAAAAATAAAGAATATTATTCTAATTGTTTTATATTTCTAGATTATCATTATGAAGTAGATAGTGAAATATCTTCAGCATCATTTGCATCAAGTCCACCAAGTGATCATGAAGATATAACAGAATTACAATCATCTCGATCTGTAGATGAAAAAACTTTATATGAAGAATCACATCGTCTTGTTGATGAATTAGATGCTCGTATTGCTGATTTATCTAGTGGAACTACAACGACTATTGAAGATGTACGACAACAATCACAACATGGTAAAATAATTTGTTTTTTTTTTCTTTACATTTTTCTTAAAAATAATTAGTTTATATAATATATATATTGCAAAATAACATTATATATGTTATACATTAGTTTTGATCGTTGTATGAAAAGAAGATTATGATCTTGTATATAAGATAATACGTCACTTACATAATAGTATATTGTTTTCAATGAGTGAACATATATATGTATATCCTAATTTCATATCTTATTCTAAGATTAAAGATATTTATCTGATATCGATTGATTCTATCTATGATTTTAATTTAACCCTTTTTTTTCTCATAGTTTAATTTGAAGACCTCAAACCGAAATTCGTTCAGTAACGTCAATATCATAGTCTCTAATATATATAGGAAGAGTTTGAAGCAAATCTGTCAAGTACCAATATTCTTTACTTATACCGCATCTTCTATGTACTCTTCAATCTGGCAAAGGTCATTAAATTTACAAAAGTTTAAAAAATTGAAAAATTTATACCTTCAATTTGTCAAACGATTCGAAACTATTACTTGAGAATCTACAATACATAAACCATAATTTGATATAAAGTCTGTTTCTATATGTTTTTCTGTTCAAGAGAATAAAAAGCTTTTACAAAATGGTATCTATAGATACCATTGGGAAAGAAAGAGTGAATTTAATTTTCTTACATAAAATCGTTCACTATTAATTTTGATGGATTGACAACGTCTATTAGCATCATTATTATTCGATAACATATTGATAAATTAACTGGTTGTATAGTGACCAGTAATATGATCAAAGCTCTTATCAGTATCCAACTGTTACGCCTACTTATCTTCGTCCTTCTACAAAAATTTATTGTCATTAACTTCTCTATGTTGCCATCAACGTTGACATGAGCAATAGAGAAAAAGAAAACCAGCATTGTCTATCAACAGCATTTGTCCTTACTAGCCTTTCATAGCATAAATTATGGTTGTGTGTATATATATATATATATATATATATATATTCTTGTGTTCTATGCATACTCTTCTACAATATGTATATAGATCGGTCATCACCTTCCTTCTTTTCCGTATCAATATTAACTGACAAAGCAAAGAAAGAACACAAGTCTAAACTATCGATAATAGGAAAAAAAAGAGGAAAAAGCTTCTCAACCTATGACTCTACAATACTTCTAGCAATATATATATATCTTTCTGTTTTTTTTCTTCTTCTTGTTCTTGTTCTTTCTACAAATTTAGCATCGTTGTTGATTTTCTTTTCTATGATTATATCATATCTACAGCTGCCTACCAATGACCAAGTAAACATTGAGTTTGTCAGTTTCTTTTTTCATCTAACGTTGGCAGTATTGGTAGATAATCGGCAACGGTTTTTTTTCTCTGCCTCTTAGTACATTTTGTATTCATCATCATCATCATATAAGTTTGCTACACAGTATTTGATATTTGTTTTTGTTATTCGGTTGGGTGTCTCATTAATATTTAACGATGGCATCCGATGAAGACCGTGTACCAAAATTTGTTCATATTGATGAACAATATGGAAATAAAGGAAATGATCCAATATTATTTGGTTTTGAACAAGAACTTAAATCTGTTACTGTACGTTATGGCGATTCAGCAAGATTTGAAGCTAAAATACGTTTAACATCAACATCTTCAAATATTCAAATTGATCGATCTTTATTAAATATTGAATGGCGTTTAAATGATATACGTATAACAAGCGACAATGATTCAAGATATCGATTTGATTCAATACAAGAAGAGAATCTTTATTGGATGGATATTCGACAATGTGAACAACAAGATGAAGGAGTTTATACGATTTATATTAGTTATGATCATGATAAATATCATGATGAATCGAGTGCTTATCTCTTTGTTGACAGTGAGTTCATATTTTAAAAAAAACAATTGAGAATAGACTAAACTATTTCATTACTTTAGAATATGTTAGATTTCAAACTATTATTTAGATTTATATATATATATGTTCTTGAGGATGTATAGTTGCCTTTACTTTTCAATTAATAATACCGTATGGAATACTATTCTATTGAATTTGTTATAGTTTTCAGGCAGTATCTATTTCAACATGATTCATTCATTAGTAAAAAAGATGATGCCAAAGACTGGTTAATGAAATAGTGTAACAACACATATAGCAAAATCATTGTACGACAACAGATTTGCCTTTTTGATTGCAAATATGTTGTTAGATACATCTTCAGATAATTCTTAATTATAGTCGAATGAGTCATCATATATAATAATCTCGTCGTCTCTACGTCTGTTAAAGATTGGCATGTTGTTGTTTTGTTGTGTTTCTTTTCCTTCCTCCTAAACAGATAAGTATAACGACACATGAACAAAACAACACACAAATTACTATGGCTGTAATTACAAGCCAAATTTTTTTAATCTACTATACTATTATTTTCTTTCGTGTCGAAATATCAAAACATAGATAATTATGTATTTAAGACAATCTTAATATTTTCTTCAATGTGATTTGGATCAAATCACATTCTTTGTATTTAAAAATTATATATGTTCATGTAATGGAAATAGAATAGCGTTAATAACCTTTAATTACTGGTTTATATAGACCTTCTATTTCGGAAAGGGCAACTACTTAATTGTTAATGCAATGGTTACAATCTTTGAGAATATCATTTTGTCTTTATTTTTTCCTCTGTTAACATTAAATAAAATATAACCTATTGATATTTCTTATTTCAATTAAATTATTCTTCATATAATAATTAAAAAATATTATACTTTTAATTCTAGGCTTTATTACTGAAAAGGAGGAGCAACCTGATCAAATAAGTCAACGAGGATTAACTGCTGGTGATTCATGGTCATCAGCAACATCTCTTGATCGTTTTATTCCACCAACAATAACACAACCTCTTCTATCTACTTATCGATATCGTTCTGGTGATAGAGTACAACTTCAAGTTGAATATTTTTCACCATCAGTACAATGTCATTGTACATGGCAAGTGCAACATATAGGTGATGCTGCACCACAACTAATACAAGATGGATCAATAGTTAATACAAATTATTCATCAACATTAACTATTGATTCTATAACACCTGAATTACAAGGTGTATATCTATTTCAAGTTGAAAATGTTTATGGACAAGCTATGACACAAACATATATTAGTGTCGATCAGGAAGATATTGATGACGAACAACAAGGTAAATATATTTGTTTTTAATTAGTTTAAATATATATATATATATTTATATATCTATATTTAGAATATCAAGAAGCATTTGAAGAACCACCTATTAAAAAGAAACATCTTGAAGATGAGAGTCATTTACAATTAATGGGTCCATTTCATAAACGTATATCAATGATGCATCATATGCCATTAGATGAATCATTAAGAGATGAAGCTCTTAAAGTTCATCTACCTGGTGAAATAACAGAAGAAATTATTATTCATACTGAATTTATTCCACCGACGCCACGATTATCATTAATTGAAGAACAATCAACAGATTTACCTGTAAGAAATTTTGTTTTTTGTTTCATTGAAATCATATTGTATTCTTTTGATTTTCTGTTATAGATTAAACAAAATTTATTAAGTGAACAAATTCAAACTGGAGATACATATAAAATTGAAGATGTTGACATAAAAATTACGATGGATCAACAACAATTACAACCTGTAAGCCTTACTGTTTTGTTATTAGTTCTTCTATATTTTTTCTTCGAATCAATATAAGGATAAACTATCGAAATACTTTTAGGATTTGAGTTCCTGTAAGTTATCGAATTTTTTTCTAGAGCTCGCAAGTTTTTGGAATTTTGGTCTGACACTTTGTGCATATTGAGACTTTATTCAAAACTTATGAATAGTCTAATTAAGTTCTCTATATGTAGAAAGTTTGAGATCAAATTTCCGAAAACCTGAAACTTCTAGAAAAAATTAAGAAATATATGCTCCTGCTTTTAGTATATTTTTAATAAATTTTCTTTCTACCTTGAATAATCTTTATGTTCACAGAAACCCTTCCAAACTTTATTTTCAAAGATTGGCTTATAATTCCTAACTTATAAGTTTCACAAAAATTCCGAACATATGTATGTGAAAAAAAACCACGAAATTTTGATTCTAACCCGATGCTGTAAATTATCTGTTGACTGTCATAATCTATTGATAAATGAAGGAATAAGTTGTACAGAAAATTATTAAGACAAATGATCTAAGTTAACATTGTATTTGTGTGAAAATGTTGTCATCTTATCGAAAGATTATTTTTCTCTTCTCAATCAATGTAATAAAATACTTCATTTGATTAATGTATTGACTTTGTCATGCTGTCGTATAAACACAGGAAGAAAAAGCCTATTGTCGAATGATCAAACAACTAACAGAGTTTCAAAGCATAACTAACAAATTTGATCATTTCATAGTATAACTAATATTCTTGTATTAAATACTCGATTATTTGTATTGACTAATATATATGATTTAGTGGAAATTTGAATCATTACGTTTCATTTTATTTTTCAGGAAAAGAAATCAGCCGATCAAATTCAATTCGATCTGCTACTTCCATCGTTATTAAGCGATACTGTACTGAAATCTATTCGTGAGGACATTCCGCAAACATCTGCTTTAAGAATTCAACAACAACAACAACAACTGACTCGACCAACAGATGATAATCTAACTGTTATCGAAAAATCACAAACTATAACTTCAGTACCTATTGCACTTGATACAGCTCTTAGTAGTGTTGAACAATGGTCAGATGTAATTTCTGATCATGATACTTTTGTATTACCATCATTTCGTCAAGCTTCACGTATTTCACATTTATCAACATCAGCTAATGAATATGAAGATGAACAACATATTGCACATCCTTTACGTCAACGTTTATCTATTGGTTCAATTCGAACATCGGACAAAGTAGATACTATACAACAACCTGAAGTAGGTCCATATGTTCCATTACTTGATGAAAGTAGTATTGCTCTTAATCAATTTCGTCTACCTGAAATACCACAATCATATGAATATAAAGCACCAATCGATATTAAACAAGAACCAATTGCTCTATTACGAACTAGTGCATTGGCTATGAGTAGTGATGATATGGAAATTCATGAAACACCTATCAATATCAGTCATATACGTCATCAAGAATCAGGAGGTACTAAACAAAGAGCTACATCAATTTCACAACCAAGTGTCACTATTGATTTTTCTATACTTGATGAAAGTCCTCTTCATCTCGATCAACTTCAACGACCAGAATTATCACAATCAATTGAATATAAACTTCCTGCTGATATTCAATTATCAACTAGTTCAATTCTTACGACAACTTCTGCTCTTAGTCAAGAAGAACCAGCAGAAGAAACAGCTATTAATATTACTCAATTTATTCAATCTACTGCTCAAGATTTGCCTGTTTCCGAAACAAAAAAAACAACAAGTATCAACAATTATACAACCAAGTCTTATTACTGATTTACCGGTACTACATGAAGCAGTTGTTCGTCTTGATCAAGTTCATCGTCCAGATGCACCACAATCTATCCAATATAAAGCTCCGCCTGATATTCAACCATCAGTTGGTACTATTCTTACAACAGCTTCTGGTCTTATTAGTGAAGAACTAGCACATGACACACCTGTAAATATTAGTCAATTACGTCAACCAATAGCTAAAGATGTCTCTGTACATGACACAATTCAACAACAAGCATCATCAGTAATGCAATTAAGTGCAGCGACAGATTTATCTATATTTGATGAAACTTCAATTCATGTTGATCAAATTCATCGTCCAGATGCACCACAATCTATCCAATATAAAGCACCTGCTGATATTGAACCATCAATCGGTTCAATTCGCACACATACTTCTACTCTTAGTATAGAAGAACCAGCACAAGAAGTTCCTATTAATGTTAGTCAAGTACATCAAGCGACTGCTCAAGAATTATCTGATGAAATAAAACAACGTGCTTTAGATATTTCACAACGATCTAAAGATATTGATTTGTCATCACTTGATGAAACTGCTATTAATATAGAACAATTTCCTCAAGCTGAAGAATCACAATCAGTCGAATATAAACTACCAACTAATCTTAAACAAGTATCAGCTACTTTACTTAGCACTCCATCTGTATTAGCAAGTGAAACTGAACATGATGAAACAATTTTAACTTCAGTAGAAGGTTATCAACAACAACAAGGACATAAAACATATCGACCAGCAGTTATCTCCGATTTGTCATTGGCACCTGCAGAAGATGAATTTGCTGAATTACCATATGAAATTCAATTGCAACAACAACGTTTACTTAAAATGCCACCTAAATTACATGAACAACCTATACTTATTCAAAGTCGTACATCAATTATCGAAGGCAATGATGAAACACAATCAACAATGATTGGTCAACGTCGTCAAATGATACCTTCTGTACAAAAAGAAGAAGAAGAAGAAGAAGAAGAAGAAGAAAAATCAATCTCTCGAGAATCATCAATGAATGTCGATGAAGTTATTGAAACAATTTATTTAGAAGATGAATTACTTGAACCTAAGAAATCAATCGTTAGTGATATTCCGGTATCGACTGACGAAGATATATCATCTTTAGTTCCGACAGTCGGTGAAGTTGTACCTTCAATCGAAGAGGTACCTCAAACTACGGACAAAGAAATATCTATGCAAATTAATCAACTCGAAACTGTGCGTTCAGACCAAAGTATTAACGAAGAATTACAATCATCACTTAACCGATTAGATCAAGTTTCATTGACACAACCAACTTCTCTTCATTTACAAACAACAGAAGAAATACTTTCTTCTGCTACTATAGAAAAAGCACCGGAAACATTAGTGCCAGAAAAAATTGAAGAACCACTCGAAATAGTATCGAAAAAAATTGTTGATTATATTGAAATACCACATTCAACAACAGATTTAGATAAAAATAAACCTGAAGCTATCATCGTTATAGATGAAATGACACCAAGTGAAGGCATTTCACGTGTTGCAGGTAAGTTTAATTATTAGATAATAATCAAATAAGTTCTTTTCTATTCATTGTCTATTATTCCTATTTATTATATATAGATGCAACAAGTCATATAGCTCCATCTGAAAGTTTACCTACAGTAGATTTCACAACAGAAACTATTCAACAAATACAAGGTATGATATGAGTTGCTGAATTTTGAAAAACTTATGCTAAGTTTTATTTCATGTTTTTTGTTTATTTTCCTTTAGGTGATGTGACTTCTGAACAATTTTCTCTTTCTGCTCTAAGTGACAAAGGTGAAAAATCATTGAAAGAATCTGTAGAATCTTTGTCTGTTCCAGCACAACCGAATTTATTGCCGTTGGCAACAATGCCCGATGAAACAACAGAAGGAGATAAGCTACGTACACCTGATAAAATCGTTCAAGATGTTCTCGTCGCTGCACTTGAACCAACAAGTGTCAGTCAGGTCGAACATACTGCACAAACTATACCAACGTCTTCATTGACTCAACTACAGACAGCAAGTACTTTTCAAACTGTATCTTTCGATCAAGATGTTTCTAAAGATACTACAAAAGTCCAATCCGTCAAAACAGCATCACCAGTACCTGTTTCGATGGAACCTGATCAATTCTTTGATGCTGAATCAGAATCTACGGGTGAAATAGCAAAAACCGAAATTAAAAAACTAACGTCATTTCATGAACAACCAATCACTCTTGCCGCAGTAGAAAAGTTACAACATGATGTAGCTGTTGAACAACAAATGGATGAATTTCATGAACCAGAACTTCCTGTAACATCAATAGAGGCACCACTTACTGGTGAACCACAACCACTTGAAACGTCATTAGAACAAACCACAAGTGCTACAAAAGAGATACCATCGAAAACACAAGTTCAGGAACAAATAAAACCTGTTGAAAGTACAGGTCTCCTACAACAAGAGTCTGCTTTACCAACGCAAGAGCAAGAAGTAGCACATGCGGCACAATTACTAATGAAAATCATCGATGAGCAAAAGCAAACAAGAATCGAGCTACCAGAAACGACACTACCTGATGAAGAAAAAGTTCCACAACGTGAAAAGCCACAACCGCAACCAGTCGAAGTACAAAAAGACGAAGCTGTTGAAAAAATACAGCTGCTACCGACTCCAACATCGCAGCCAGGCGAAACACAAACAATCGAAACGGTTGAACAAATAAAACAGCAACCGAGTCCAACACTGCCGCCAACCGAAGTACAAATAGTCGAAACAGTTGAACAAATACAACCACAACCGACTTCAGAGTCGAAGCCAGTTGAACAACTACAACAACCAACTCCAACACCGCAACCAGTCAAAGTACAAACAATCGAAACGGTTGAACAAATACAATTGCAGCCAACTTCAGAGCTGAAGCCAGTTGAACAAATACAACAGCAACCGACTCCAACACCGCAGCCAGTCAAAGTGCAAACAATCGAAACGGTTGAACAAATACAATTGCAGCCAACTCCAGAGCTGAAGCCAGTTGAACAAATGCAACAGCAACCGACTCCAACACTGCAGCCAGACAAAGTGCAAACCGTCGAAACGGTTCAACAAATACAACTGCAGCCGACTCCAACTCGTCCACCAGCCGAAGTACCAAAACCCGAAGCAGTTGAACAAATGCAACTGCAACAAGTTCCAGAGTCAAAGCCAGTTGAACAAATACAACAGCAATCGCTTCCAACAGCGCAGCCAGCCGAAGTACAGAAAGCCGAAGCAGTTGAACAAACACAACTACAACCGGCTCCAGAACTAAGCGCAGCCGTAGACAAAAAAGCAGAACCATCTGAAGGCATACAATTGAAACACGCGCCAGAAGTGAAACCTGAGCCACTTATCGAGAAAAAACCAGAAGAAGCCGAACAACCACGGCCCAAGCCGGCTTTAGAAGAGACAACGAAGTTAGTGGAAGAGCAAAGAGCAAAAGAGCCTAAAGAAACACAACCGGAACTTGGTTTAGAACGTAAATCGGTGCTACTCGAAGAACAAAAGCCACAAACAGTTCAACAACCACAACTGAAACTGGCTTCAGAAGAGAAGCCTAAGCCACCTGAACAAGAAAAAGTCGAGCAACCTGAACAGTTACAATCAAAAAAGACTCCTGAAGAAAAGCCGAAGCCACTCGAAGAAAAGAAAGACAAGAAAGTTGAACAACCACAACAGAAGCCAGTTCCAGAAGAACAGCCTAAGCTGGTTGAAGAAGAAAAAGTCAAACAACCTGAACAATTATTGGTCAAACCGGTTCCTGAAGAGAAACCGAAACCAGTTGAAGAGCAAAAGGGCAAGACACCCGAACAGCCACAAGTAAAACCAGTTCCGGAAGAAAAACCAAAGCCGGTGGAAGAACAAAAAGCCACAAAACCTGAAGAAGTGCAACCGAAGCCGGCACCTGAAGAGACGCCGAAGCCAGTCGAAGAAAAGAAAGTTGAGCAACCACAACCGAAGTCGGTTCCAGAAGCACAGCCTAAGCTGGTTGAAGAAAAAAAAGTCAAACAACCTGAACAACCATTGGTCAAACCGGCTCTTGAAGAGAAACTGAAACTAGATGAAGAACAAAAGGGCAAGGCACCCGAACAACCAGAGGTGAAACCAGTTCCGGAAGAAAAACCAAAGCCAATCGAAGAACAAAAAGCAAAAAAACCTGAAGAGCCACAACCGAAACCGGCGCCTGAAGAGAAGCCGAAACCAGTCGAAGAAAAGAAAGACAAGAAAGTTGAACAACCACAACCGAAGCCAGTTCCAGAAGGACAGCCTACGCTGGTTGAAGAAGAAAAAGTCAAACAACCTGAACAACCATTGGCCAAACCGCTTCCTGAAGAGAAACCGAAACCAGTTGAAGAGCAAAAGCGCAAGAAACCTGAACAGCTGGAGGTGAAAGCAGTTCCAGAAGAGAAACCAAAGCCAATCGAAGAACAAAAAGCAAAAAAACCTGAAGAACCACAACCGAAACCGGCGCCTGAAGAGAAGCCGAAGCCAGTCGAAGAAACGAAAGACAAGAAAGTTGAACAACCACAACCGAAGCCCGTTCCAGAAGAACAGCCTAAGCTGGTTGAAGAAGAAAAAGTCAAACAACCTGAACAACCATTGGCCAAACCGCTTCCTGAAGAGAAACCGAAGCCAGTTGAAGAGCAAAAGGGCAAGAAACCTGAACAGCCGGAGGTGAAAGCAGTTCCAGAAGAGAAACCAAAGCCAATCGAAGAACAAAAAGCCACAAAACCTGAAGAAACGCAACCGAAACCGACACCTGAAGAAAAGCCGAAGGCAGTGGAGAAAAAGAAAGTTGAACAACCACAACCGAAGTCGGTTCCAGAAGAACAGCCTAAGCTGATTGAGAAAGAAAAAGTCGAACAACCCTTGGCCAAACCGGCTCCCGAAGAGAAACCGAAACCGGTAGAAGACCAAAAGGTCAAGAAACCTGAACAGTCACCGGCGAAGCC